AATTTTATGGATCCATTAAAATTTTGCATTACTATTTTCAAGTTCTCACCGGACAAACTATGCTTCAAATTTCATAAGATGTATTTATCTAGCAACGACATGCTTATTATAATTAGCAGTTCACGTAGAAATCATAGATGAAGAAAGTATGCGACGATGATTTCCTGCTTGCTCGAATAGCAGCGGTTACCAACCGCAAAATTATCACGGTGATCGATTACTGGTCTGATAGAAAAACATCGCCAATGCAAGCGAGCATGCGAGTACCCAGAAGTAAATGAGATGAAGACGACTCGATCGCTAGGACAATACGTTTATTCGCCTGACGGTTCAAAATTCGTCGCAAATTTAGCTTCGGACACATTAGCTGAAAACAGTAGCATAAACGGGTCAGCAGATATTGCTACTGCTCATAGTGATAGACGCAAAAAAGGAACAGTATTCATAGGATGTATATAATTTGCATCGACATACCTATCATAATTGGCAGTTCAGGTACAGATCATAGATAATGATCTGCTATGTTTTTGGCTAATGTCTCTGAAGATGAATCCGCGGCGGATATCGAAATGTCAGGCGAATAAACGTATTGTCCCAGCGATCGAGTCGTCTTCTTCTCAGGCACGCGTCCTTTCAGGAAATTGAAACATTTTTCCCGGACGAAATTTGAACTAGGCCAAGATCACGAGCTGCGCAGAATTTATTGACGTCAGTTGAATAAGAGGTCACGGAATGTTGTGACGTCAATAAATTCTGCTCATCTCGGGATCTTTGCCTTGTTTACACACCCTTTCTTTCGTTGACGCATTCACCAGTAGAAGTAATTGTCGGCGAGATCTTGTGTGGCTAATGAAGCCAAAAAAACAAATGAATGGCTTTAAGTGTGGAGCAGCAGTTCATTGCACCTGTTACTCGACCACAGACATTGGATTCATGAGTAGAGCAGCCTATAGATCACGCGGTAGTCACCTCTCTCAAATATGTTGGCTTCTTCAAACTCAATTGCTAAGTTAGTGTCATTAGCATCACGTTGGCGTCATTCTTTCTCTCTGCTACCACGGGTTAGCCGGGCCACATGCGGCATACGCTTCTAGTTTCTCCGATGTTCATGTTTTGACGAAAACCTGAATAAATCTCGTAAATGATTTTAAACATTTTCTGCTGCAGCAATGGATGTCTCGCTGTCAGCACCTGGCGTCCTCTGATTGACCCTAGCAACTATAACAGCCAAACACTATACATTGTGAGACTGCGACTGACGAGTTTCGTGATCTTAAGGCAGCGCCGGCTGAAATGTGGAGTGAGCGCTTTTGGACCTCCTGTTGCATAGGCACATGCACCTTTTGACAAAGGGGCAAAAATATATCATAATTTGGCAATCTTGATTTCCGATTTACTACAATGCACACTAGGGAGACGATATAGCGTAACTATGCTTATGGTAGATTTCTTGGTAGTTTTGCTCTGCATTTCCTTCGCCACATTTATGGCTTTCCTGAGCATGTTAATTTTAAAACCGTCATGGCCTTTGCGGCAAACGAAGACATCAAAGAGGGGTCCAGTTCGCCTTCCCCCGTAGCCTCAATGGGACCATCCGGAAGAATGGCATTGAGACGTTTTTTTTATGTCAACCCCTGATCCATCTGCGTAGTTAACCCGGAAATCCGGTCTGTGGTTTGTAAGAGTAGGCCTTAGAGCAGCCAAGGAAATGTGTCCGCCCAAAATGGTTTTGTCTTGCATTTTATTTCCCATAAAGTAATGGTTCAATGACCTCGACTGTCAGGTCCCATGCATAAAAATAAATATCGCTGTATAATAGCAGGCACTATATGTTCGTTGGACACGCGTCACACTCAACTAATTTGGTTGTGTGTTTGAACGCACATTTAGAAATTTGAGAGACTAATGCAGCCAACTTAGCAAGCCGAGAGTTAAAGTGCATAAAGGTACTATGATGGACAACGATTAATATCATTTGTCCTGATTTAATTGCATGTCCTTAAAAAATATTTAATTACTGGCAGTGTCTGTAGTGCCTGCATGGGCTCGAAACATCCACTAGGATGACACACACAAATAGAGAAAGCAAATGCAGATATATAAATAGGACCAATCAGCTCAGGTATAACACAAGCAATACTGAAAGGTGGAGGGTATGAGGTACCTATGACCGTTCTCCTCGACATTCTATGCGCATTTTGTTTTCTTTGTCTCACATCGTAGCTAAGACAATAGGTAATCTTCTTAACGCTGTAGGAACACAAAACGGTTCTGGATTAATCCACCCGTATTTGGTCGATACGTGAAACCAAGAAATCATCAGTCTGCTTAGCTACAAGTAAGACCAGATGCATATTTAGAAGACGGCTCTTAGCAGGTACAGTATGTACATGTCTACAATTTTAGTGCCTTTTCTATGCAAAAATGGACTTTATTTCCAGATGCAAACTCAAAAAATCATGTTCACCGTATTTCCAAGGTCTTCCGATAATTTGCGTGCTATACAAAAACGGCAGGATATAGTTCTATGCAATGAATGGACCAAATTGTATATTCATCTAAGTATTTACTAACGGCCGCATTTTTTGCCTCATTTTTCACTGTTTTTTGAATAGAACTTGAATATGTTCTATGTTAAAAAGTAATTATAATGTTAATATACGCTAAATAACTGTCATAAAAGCCATTTTCTATGTGTAACTGACCATAGAATTAAGCGAGGACAGAAGAACTTAATAGGTTTCAAAATATCTGTGTTAGAAGATATAGTAGTAAATGAGGATCTTTACAATTTTTAAGCGCTGAATGCTGAGAGCCACTACCCCAAACCAGTCGCCGAAGTTCAGACAGACAATTTTGCTGTTTGAAGCAGGCCAAAACAGCAGAAGTTATATGCGCAAATAAATTTCGAGAGAGCTTATCAACTGCGTCCTCTCTGTGTATGAGTAACGAGACAATCAGAGAACACGTCATTTTGAATTTTCACAGAATCGATAATAGCAAGTCATTTTAACGTGGCAAACGGTCAATAGTTATGTCATCTATTGGGACGAAATAGAGGGAGGGGAAATAACATAAAATTGAAGTGTGGCATGTATTTACCAGGGCAATCGAAGCTTAACTACATGGTCTAGTTGCTTACATGGATCGGGTTTCTTCCGCCATATGTAGGATGCTTCCATGTAACACAAGGTCCGGTGTGTTCGTATTTGAACAAGAACTCGGAGAGATGTGTGAATGTCAACGGAGTGACCACCGTCGAGTGTTTTGTAATAGATGACCTTGATACTTTGTTTCCTTGTTTTAAAAGCCATAAAGGCAAATGTTCAGCAGCTTTGGTCGCCAATTGCCTTTGCGTAGGCTAATGTGCTTGCATCCGCAAGTGCAAGTGAATTCATAGACGCAGTCTGAGGTGTTGTGCAAGTAAAGGCTTCCTTTTGCCGGTTAATTGGAAGGCTTTTAGTTGGAGTGGGAAGAGTAGGGACGCAGTTTATAAGCTCTCTCGAAGTTCATTTGCGCAAATAAATTCTGCTGTTTTGGCTTGCTTCGAATTTATACC